ATATTCGTATGTTTGTTAATATCACTTTTCACAGCAGACTTAGTAGCTATCTGGGAGGCTGTGAAAAGTGATATTAACATACAAGTATCACTTTTCACAGCAGCAGACTTACTAGCTAGCTAGTCTAAAAAAAAAAGGAGCCACAAAAGCCAACGAAATAACAAAAAAGACAAGAACATGCAAAGCACCTTATTTATGTTTCTATTCTGTTTAGGTCTGGTAAAGAATAGAGACAACTGTATATTATTTTTATTACTGAGCCTGCAAAACCATACATAAATCAATTATAATGATTTGGAAATGTATATATGTGTATTTATTTGCCTTTTCTAAAGTTAATTAAGTATTTTAGGAAAAAGTGTGAGAGCAGCCACCAGCAAGAGTTGCAGCCCTGGTGAGGAGCTCCCAATACATAATGGTCAGGTTTAAGAAAACTGGGGGAGATGAAAGAACCACTTGTTGACCTGTGAATGACTGATTCTTGTAACACTAATGTTGTCCAAATTAGCAGTGAACACCTTTGTGTGATGCTTATGGATAATATCTAGCCCTATTCATTTTCTATGTTGAAAAACTGAGCAGTTAATTTAGGCATAATGAACTGGGATATGACTTGCTTCATTATTAATGCAGTGTGTAAACACTGAATGGAGTCTTTGTATTAATTTTGATACATTTAGATCAATTTTGATACATTTCTGTTTTTAATGGAGTATGACTGAGGGGGCCAAGTGTTCTTTGTGTTCAGGGCCCGAATAAATCTTAATCCACCACTGCTGTAGATATAAGGTAAAAGATGGACTCTTCTACAATATTCATCTCGTGGAAAATTCTGGTAAAACTCAAGTGCTTTACTCAGCCTCTTTGTACATAAATAGACAGCAGATAACTTTTTTTTAGACACAACATTTCTTTCCCACACAAACCTGGTTTTATCGCACTGATTATTTAGTTCATAAATGTAAAATCTTGAAAATGAGGCAATGCAAATCTCGCTGCAGGCTGAAGAAATGAATCCTTCATTTCATGCTTACAAATCAATGGGGATCTTTTTAACACATTAAAAAGACTAGTGTGGCACATTTGGATTTAGAGGCTGTGTTTCAAGTGTGCCTGATTTTTTTTCATGCAGATTTGTCTATTTATTAATCTGACACTAACTGCCACTGAAATTCAGCATTTGTAAAATGAAAAATTTTCCCTCTGTGGACTCCCCAGGCAACAACAAAGGAGAAACTATTCTGATTTTTCTAAAACAAGACTTTAGTTTTTCAATCCTGAATGCTTTGAATGTTTACATTCTCAGTACCCATTTACTGTAGCAGTATTGCAGTGTTTGATATAAGGAAACCAACAGCTGCAGAACATGCTGAAAAGTGAAGTAAGACAGCTAATTACAACATATCTATGAACATTTTTTGCTAAATTCTGTCTTTTTCCATTTCCTAGAAAAAAATGTAACTGGTTCTTTGGGAGAGTTGTCTCTGTATATTCATACATATGAGATCCACTCCCTAGCATGCTGAGCTCTGGAAGCCTTCTGGAAAGATGTGGCTGTTGGGGCTACATGAGTGCCTCCTTGCAGATTCAGAACTAAAATTATAAAATGGGCTGTTTGGCTAGATCCATTTCAGTTTATTTTAAAGCCCTATGAGAGTAGAACAAAGAAGAAAGGAAGGTGGACATGTAGTGCGAATATACAGAGGCAATACTGTCCAAGAACCTCTGTTTTTATCAGGGTGGATTTGATTTAAATCAAATTGATTTAAATCATGATTTAAATCACTAGTCAGGAAGATTCAATTTAATGATGGTTTTCTACATTCTTGTTGGTTGTTATAATCTTAATACATATTCTTCACAACTCAGAGATAGATGTAGGTTTCATTTTTAGAAGGTACACACAATACATTTTTAAACAGTGATTTATTTTGAAAACTTTTCAGATTAGTTTTACAGCTGTATCAGAAAATGAATGATTGTTTGGTTATTTCATTTACCAAAGGTAGTTGAAGCAGATATTTATGAAGTCATTGGGAGGTAAACTATCTCCAATTCAACAGGTTAATCATTAATATTTG